GGAAAGAGTCATCTGCACATGTGTGTTCACATGCACATGCCCATCTACCCACAGCCTTACATACACTCACCTATGGCTATGGCTTAGTAGAAGATCTTGACCGGAATGGATAATCCTGGATCATGTTACAATTACTACTACCCGGTTGATTTGCTACTTTACAAAGCCGACTTTCTTGCTCAAAGGCGTGTAGAGAGTTGCAGAAGGATTGTGGTTTGATCAAATCTGACCGAGATCTTCAGTTACTTTTGAGCTACGGTATGAGCTGTGGCAAAATCTTTTACTGTCTGAAGTTTAATTAACATTACTGAACCCACAGGTGGTGTGATTATGGTGTATGAGTAAAAAAAAAAATCTATTCTGTTGATTCATGGGGTTTTTTTTTATATGGTTACATTAATGGATAAATGTAGGCTATTCAGATGTTTCTAAACTGAGATTTCTTGGAAATGTCACAGGTCCTAATTTCCTTTTTGAGTACATTCATTTTCATTTGTATCTGTCTTTTATTCATAATATTTGGAGTGCACGCCTTCATTCTGGCAACTTCCTATTGTTCATTTATGTTATAGTAGTACTGAGAAGCCTCAATCCAGGTAAAACCTGGAGGCCCTTTGTTCATCGGCTGTTTGTTAAATCCAGATGTGAGGTGGGAAAATGTGACCGGCCGTAGGTAGAAATTCATTACTGCTGTTGTTCTTCTGGGTTAAATGACTGCATCAACACAAAGGGTCAGATGCCATCAGCTGTTTGGAGAAAACAGCTGCCATTCCCAAATTAAGAAGAGTGGATGGCCACTATAAGTAGGCCAGTCACCTAACGAAGGAAGATGGCGCAGCAGGGCTGGGAAATTTGGAGCGTGGGCTCCTGAGTGTGGCTGAACTGAGCTAGGAAACATGGCGGGGCCGGGGGGGGACCTGAGTCAGGGAACAGCTGAGCCCAGAGAAATCTGGGAATAATAAGGATGGACAGTGCAAGTAATAAAAAGCACTAATGTTAACTAATTCACAGTATCCTAAATGACAAGATCTGAAGAAAGGGATTGATGCTAACTTTGTATTGGAGCAAGAGGTCAGGCTGTGTTATGGGAACTGTAGCAGTAAATACTATTCCATCATTAGAATGAAAATTTGGAGTTACATGACTAAAATTAAAGTTGCCAAGTGAGTGAATGGCAGAGCTAAGCACAGAGTTGTTTTGACTTCCAGTCTGATGGATTTAATCAGAAAACCCCTTGCCTCCTTTTATTTCACTGGCAAGAGAAAGTCTCCTCATGCTCTGAAGACTGTGTGCTTCTTTCAACAGCATTCGCAGACAAGTACCAGAAATTAAAAACTAGCGGGCAGTGTCTTGTTCTGTGCATTTCCCCTTTGCTGAAAGTTACACATTAAGCAAGCACACGCTTTGAAAGCTTTATGTATATTTTACTGACAGGAAGAGGCAATGATGACTGCGGGCCTGTGTTCATGCAGCAGATGTCAATATGATGATGATATTCAGTGCATGAAGTGCATCTTAAGAGAGGCTGAGTGTATCTGATGTGTTTCCAATGTAATTTATTATTGTTTATTTGCAAAAAAAAAAATTCTGAGGGCATCATACTGTTTTAATGATTAATGGACAAAGCAGTTTTCTATGTTAAAAAGAATCAGTGTTCCATTTTATATAAATTCAACAGAAATTGTTTGAGAATAACTGTCTGAGAATAATCACTATTCCTTTTATATAAATTCAGCAGAAATTGTCTGAGAATAATAGCTACAAGAGGTTCTGTTTTGCATATCTATCATTCTTTCAGAGTTTGGATACTCTAAAAGCGTTTTACAAACAATAATAAATTTAGCTTTGCAACACCCTGCAGATGTGAGTGAATGTTATCAACATTTTTAAAAATAGGAAGTCCGAGACATAGAAGTATTCACGCAAAATGCTTCAAGAGTAGCCATTGGCATTATTTTGGGATGCTTCCATTTTCTTTCAGTGTCCAGCTCCACTGCATTATCAAACTGATTGGTGAAAGTGTAACGAAAAAGTTATTGTGAGGCTGTGGTCATGTCTGCCTTCTGTTCTTCCTTTTAAAATGACTGATAGTCACTATCTTTCAGTAGTCTGAGAGAATGTTCAGGTTTTCAGAGAAAATCACTTCAGATTTGGCTGGAAAGGGCTATTGTGAACATCATCCGACCTCTTGCATAATGTGCTGTATTAAATATTATGACCCTTATCATAAGTAATTACATACAGTTTTATGTGGACATAACTTTTAGATGACTTTCTGAAATATATGATGAATGTTTATGTTTTTATGATTTATGTTGGATCTATTGCAAATTGTCCATATATGCATTTAAAAAATCCTTTCTCTTATCCTAAACGTACAGAGAAACGTTTTCAAATGTCAATATCCTTACACTTTCAACACAATATTACAAACAGAAAGCTATAGAAAGGTTCTCCCCATTGTTGTAGTTGTTCAGTTTTGCTAATGGAAGAGGAAAAGTTTGAATTAATAAATAAAAAGGTAAAAAAGTGATCGTGCATGTTACATGAAAATATTTTATAGTCTGGATGAAAAATAAGTAGTTCTCAGAAAAGAAAAGCAACACACAGCAGAGACTATTAGAACGGTACCCCTTAGGTGCATCCAAAGTTAGATCTACACTGTGCCCTATGGATATGAGAAAGCTAATCTAAGTAGATGAATCTCTACAACCATGTGAAGTTTCATTGACTTTCTAGGGATCTGTAGATTTATAGCTTGGTTATGTTAGCTGCCTTAATTTTGTTGGCTTCTGTTTCAGCCATCCATGGAAGAAAGTCTTGATGGAGTCTATTGACAGTACAACAAAGCTGCTGCAATTCTTTTACCAGAAGATCTGCAATGAGCTATAAAAGATGTTAAGAATGGAAATTAAAATAGGTTGAGAGGGTGGCCCTTAGTGACATCTGGGGCACAGATATCGTGGAAAACTTTGAAAGCTTACTGTGTATACCATCTCTTAGCATTTGTAGACTTGCAACTCTAGAGCTCTGTCTGTACTTCATGGGAATCCCTGCCCTGCAGTATAACAAAGAAGGGAATTTTCGTGTAAAAGTTGTTCAGAAATTACTTCAAACACGTGAGAAATTGCTCTTTACAACTAGAGCATTATTGTACGTTGCATACTTATTGTATAACCTAGTAACCAGTATTGTTTCATGATTCATAATGTACTCCTCATTTCAGCTATTTAATAATATATTTCTAAATAAGTTAGGTAAATTAGTTACCAGTAAAATGATAACATATAACATTTGAAAATGGGACACTAGTCAATACTATTTGCCATGTTGGTACTTCCAAATGTATTTCTCCTGGTAGTCCTACCAGCAGGTAACAGGATAACTTACAGTTCATTGTGCAGTGCTCTAGAGCATCTTGCTACAAATGTAAGTCAAAAAACTCTACCTCAAGCTGAACATTTACTTTCCAGTTGGAGCATTAGCACTAACGTGCTGTATCTCAAGCAATGAATGAAGGAAATTAGTGAAGTAATTGAATTAAAGCATAAAGCAGTGATCTATTTACAAACAGTTCTAATTTATTTGACTCTCCTGTCTATCAGTAATCTTAAAACTAGCTCAATGGCAATGTAATTAGTTGGTCCGTCAGCATTTCGGGGGTAGGAAATCTTGCTAAGTTAAATATTAGGTCCTTGAGAAAACTAGATACTTTTCAAATGAAGACCATGCTGCAAATGCTTATAGGGTCTGCAAGACAGATGTTACCCCTGAATCACTGAATCATTGAAATTCTCCTTCTCTTGCTCCAGAAACTCAAGACACAGAATAGAAGCTGATTCATACTTGCATGAGAGAGACTGTACAAGTTCCTGAAAAATCAGAATGTCTTCTTTCCCCCTTATTATTCCTTTGATTGGAGAGCACTGCAATTTTCTCATCTTTCGTACTTAGAACCTCTCATGTTTTTTTCCCTTAACTTCCCAGGTAAGCTATTTCTCAGCATCCTCCTTTTGGCCGAGCAGGACTCAATTCCGTCAGGTTCATGGTGTAATAAAAGGAAGGTGTTAAAGCAAAAGCTGGGCAGCAGAGTTACAGTAAGATTATTTAATCAAATTGTTTTTCAGGTGTTCCCAGGATAGCTTGATAGAAGTTTTTTTTTTTTTTAACAGGCTATTGGATTTCAATATTTTTTCCTTATGACTCTGTGGTGTAAAAGCTTTCAGAGCAAGGAAAACTCACTCAATTTTAATATAATATACTTATTTTGAAAATAATGATGTAAGGTTTGATGTAAGGATGTAGGTAATTCCCTTCAAAAGATAAGTCAGGCTAATTATTTTTAT